AGAGAGAGAGGGAGGGGGAGAGAGAGAGAGAGGGAGGACGAGACCCCAAGCCCTGGCGAAAGAAAGGGAGGATGAGGGAGGGCAGCCGCCTCACCTGCAGGCGGGCTGAGTGCAATAGGATACGGTACTACAGTAGGTGTTGCAACTGGCCAGGCCACACAGTCATTTGGGCAGTACATGAGGCACTTCAATTTGAACCCCGCCCGAGCCAAGATGGAAAAATCAATTGGGTAGCAGGCCAAGAGCCCCTGAAGGTCACGTGATTGCGAAAGCCCCATGAAAGAAGTCTGAGTATGAGAGACTGTTTCGGTGGGGCCAGAGCCGGGTCGCACAGCATGGCGCTGAGCAACTCGAGACCGTCAGTTGGAAACCACAGATGCAGCTTCGGCATAGACAGCGTGGCCCGGGTGCGAGTACCCAATCGTCGTGCCGATCCAGTTTCTCAGCCTCAGTACACAGGAAAGCAGGATTGTGAAAAAGAGTGTGTAGAAAAAGAACAAGAAGAAGAGCAGGACACGGTCTATATCTGCAGAGACGATGTGCTCCCAAGGGAACGACCAGGTGATGCAGTGGACGATGTTCGGACGGAGCTACTGAATTGTGCAGTCGTAGACTGTAGCGCAGGTTATGGATGCCAGGCTCCAGCCAGAAAGGAAATGACAGTGCTATCCAACAAGAATTCAACAGCCTTCGCAACTGCAGATGATCAGCTTTCTGTCCAGAGCCTTTGCATTGCCTGATTTTCCCAAACGATGGACAGCCTCAACCCTGGCTCGGCGTTGAGCGGATTTCGTTTTGACTTGCGATCGACTGCTGCAGCTGGCCATCACTAAGTGGCCAGGAGCGAGTTTTGTACAGTAAGACCTGACGGAACTTGGAGGACGTTTGGCACGACCGGGTTATTTGCTCGCCAGAAAAGGTAGGATTCAAGATGCTCGGCTGCCCTCACGACACACCAAGCTGACGTGCAAAGACTCGCGCCAGTGCCGCCCTCTGACTACCCTCTGGAGTGCCGGCTGACCTCGAGACCCTGGCCGACGCGGCTTTCACAAGACAAGTAGGTAAGCAGACGGTAGAGCGAGTGATTGCGAAGCGTTCCTTTTTGATTGCTGCAAGCCCCCAGACTCGCGGGATGTGCTAATGGCCGGCTTTTGCTGCATCATGGCGAGCTAGGTTCGGTTGGAGACTGAGACTGCTGTTGTGTCAGATGTGGCCAAGGCTCATGCCGAAGAAAACCGCATGGAGAAGACTGCAACGGGAAGGGGTTGACTTCTTCGCTTCCAGCAAATCTGTCTCTCCAATCTTCTATCCTAATGCCAGTTGGCCTTCTCGCCTGGAGCCCCCCCAAAATAAAGGCCCTTAAGAAGATCGAGAAGGCTGCGACAGCAACATTATGAGGGCTGCGTTCGGCAGGTCTGGGAATGATGAAGCCTTGGAGATCCCTACATGAGGCTGGTCCATGACGTAGAGACGTAGAGTACTTGAAGTGACTGGACTTGCCCAGTGTGAGTCCGACGCTCGAACTTTCGATTGCAGGGGTGTGATCGAAGGCAATGCTGGAGGCAGCCTCCACCTCAGGGCCTCACGGCTTCCGAAAGGCAAGGAGCGTTTAATGTGCGTCAGAGGGTGCGGCATGTCGAAGGCGCTGGAAAAATTGCTCCTTCGCTTTCTGGCACCCTATGTGGCGCCTCGGTTGCAGAAATCTTATGACGACTCTGGCGCTGATGCTCATTGATTCTCTACGTAGACTCAGATAGTAACAAGCCAGGACGGCATTGCCCGGGACAAGCTGCACTTGGGAGTCGCGGCCTTTGCAGCAAGGGGGGAGGGAGAGGCGACTGCCCAGCAATGCATCTGGCTTGGATGCACAGCATCTATATGTAGTAATCCTGGTGGGCCCATGTTGTGTACTGCCTAGCTGCAGAACGGACTTGTCCTTGCTTTCTCAGATGCGCGCTGCTGATAGATGTACAGAGGTCCACCTCACCCAGAGCAGCTGGAAGAATCCCCGTCCCCTATGCGGTCGAAGTTCTTCTACGACTCCCGTCTGTGTTACCTCTTGTCCCTGGTTGCATGACCGCATCATGATGATGCCCGGGACGGTGATGGAACTGTGCATAACGATCACAAATTATGTTTGAGGCATTGTTCTGCCTGGTGAATTCACTCTCTTTCTGTATGGTTGCCGCTCCCAGGTGTTTCGAGGTTGCCTTGAGCTTCGAGGGTTAGCGGTGAAGGCTGAGGCAGCCACACTGCCTTGCGCTCAGCTTGGGTGGCTCGGACTTCTCGCAGTTTTCTTGCAAGGGCGATGGGCAATGCTGTTTCAGAGCTTGTCCGCTTATGCCAGGTTGTCAAAGCTTGCTTTGATGAGTACAGTAAAGTTTCTCTGTAACCGAGAAATACGTGCTGGTAGCAGACAGCATCGCAAGTTCCGGTGCAACAGCTAAGCAGAATTGTCGCAGGTCAACCAGCCGTGTTTGAGCATTTGGCGTGTGGCACACGCAAGCCCAACCCATTCTGTTGCCGAAGCTGCACCCTGTTCGATGTTTGTAAAAAGCAGGGGTTTGCGCTCTCCCTGCTTCTGTGATCCTTCGATCACCGAATTGTCAAACCGTTCTCCATTCAGCGTATGTCGCTGTTTGTTGTTCGGTCGTGACGCTGCCGAGCTGCGCTGCCGCTGCTGCAGTTGCTACTGAAGCTTGCAGGCGCGAGTTTTGTGAGTTGTGTGCTTGTCACGTCTGAAGAGGCTGGGACTGGAGGGCCTCCGAGTTCGCAATGGAGGCAGGTACAGTCACGTACAGTAGGCCTCAACGAAAGATGCGCCGGCCCATGGAGTTTGCGTGGAGGCATCGGGCTCATTCAGCTCAAAATTCCATGGAGGAAGCTGCCCCTTGGCGGCCATGGCGGTTTACATTTCAACAATCTTGGGCTCAACCGAACCTTCGGCTGAGTGGAGTGTTAGAGCTACGAGTTACGCATGCCCGTGTAGAGGCACATCGGCAAGCTGAGCGCTGTGGCTGGGTGCTCAGCTATCGGCAGCACAAGCCGGTACTCAATCGATGGTGCACTTGCCCTATCTTGCCATCTTCCTGCTTGTCGGTGCAGGTGAAGGAGTTGCACCTGGAGTTGGAGCCGTTGGCTGAGGCAAATGTTGTCGTAGGGTGGCAGCACCTCCCAGACAGCTGCGATACGCGAGCCAGGCGCTTGCTGGCAACGCCGGCACAAGGCAATTGCAGGACAGTCCTTTCCCGGTGCAGAGGTTTATGCACGCATTGGGCACTTGTGGCTCGCAGGAGAAACTCATCAAGGAACTGCGCAGTGCCAAATCAAGGGCGGTCGCTGTGCTGCACTAGGCCTGGAAGAAGCTGGGGATTGGAATTTAATTACCACATGTGACATGAGTACGTCGAGCGAGCGAAGTAAGAATCCAGTGAACACTGCGTGTCAAAGGGGTATTGTATCCATATGTTTGGGCAGACCGCAGCAGCAGCAGCAGCAGCGGCGCAGACTTCGTGCTCTAATACACTCGACCTCTGCATCCGCAGATCTTTAAGGTTGAGCTGCGCGCTGCTCAGCTCAGAGACCTGCTTGAGTATCCCTGGCAATTTGCAGATGGGTGGATCAAAGAACCTTGTGTCACGACTTCGTTCTTGCTCTCTGAGCCATTGTCGCAAAATGGCATGACGACCCATCGAATGGTTCATGCCCGTCTGCCGCATTTGGATCTACCCCAAAGTACAATGATAGCATTCTCGTCCTTACACTCTTGGGCAATGTAACGACGAGCCCATCTCTGCGTCCGCGCGGGCCGCTGCAGGAGACATCTGCAATATTCTGCAATACAGCATGCCACTGAAATGATCTGCGGATTTGTATCATGAAATGCAGTTGCTCACAGATGTTGCAACAGAGTTTGTGCTAGAGCCTGTGCATGCTGTGATAATGTGCGTTCAAGCTTGAGTCTGACTGCGACCGGTTTGGTGTAGTCAGAGTGTGAGCGTTGGACGGGAGAGTGCAGCGTTGAGTCAATCTTGGATGTACGTGGCCTCAATTCCTTGACCCCTGAGAGTATGCAATAGCTATGAATTAAGAGTTGCAAGCACGCAAGGGTCTGCAAATGTCCGCCCCGGCCTCTGGTCTCCAGATGCAGGTGGAACGCAGAATCTATCCCTGCAGGCTTGCGCAGAATGAATGACTGTCTTCCTGAAGCAACCGCCCCGGTTTGCAAATAAGAGTCCGGCCCTACAGTTGCTTGACTCAAGAAGTCCAGCTCCTCAATTTCTTGGGGCTTCGCCAGAGACTTTGGCCACAAACCAGGCTTCGATCTATCGGTTTTGCATCGATTTCGATTCGTGCCTACATCCGGCAGCTGAGCGTGCTCGCATCTTGCGCCAATGATATCTTAAACAGCCTGTCGCCGGAGAGCGCACGCTTGTCACGGGAAGCCGATTTGAAAAATGCAGCCTTCGCTACGACTGATCGGACTTCTACCTTGTGCTTTCAGCGAGCATTTCGTATACGGCTTGGGCATGCCTGGGCTGTGGCAGGTCGGGTGGGGTCAAACCTCCATGCTTGTCGCGCTAATCTCTAGTCGCGTCTAGTCACTAGTCGCTTTCTGCTCAATCTCAGATGCGAGGAGTCGCAGCAGCTGCAATTGAAGAAGGTGTTGCAACGGCATCGACATGAAGCAGGTTGTCTTGCCCCCAGTGTAGCAGTTCTGTTCTGCCATGCCCACTGTTACATCCTGGATGCAAAACCTGAACTGGCACTCGAGGTTTCTGTCAAGCTGCCACCGCCCGGACAAGGTTAGCCGTTCATGGACCGTGACGCCCCTCATGACAGAACCGAAGAATGAAAAAAGCCCCGAGGTCTGGCACCTGTCAATGGCAGCACCGCAGGTTCGGGCCGTTCTCGACCCGCAGAACGCCCGACATCGGTACCTCGGTAATGTTTGCTTGGCAGACCGTGCAAAACGTAAGCGGAGCTCAGGTCGGTGCAAGCAGTGAATGAAGAAGACAACCCTGCAGGTTTAGGTGCCGAGACTCCACATCCGGCTAGCGGCGTGGTGACACTCGCAACGGTTCGTTTTCGGACGCCATCTGACAATGCCAACAGTTTGACAAGCGGAAGAGCGTCCCGACAAGCCTGACCTCAGCAGAAAACTTCGCCAGAACGAGCCAGTTTACAGTAAAGCAACGGCCAATCCAAATCAGTTTGGCTGTCATCCCATTGAACTGTTGCATGCTACATCTGGCATAACGTCCATCGCACGCTGTGTTTTCGGTGAAAATCTCTTGTGTTTCTACGGAAAGCAGCAGCCTGGATCGAAAAGCCGAGGAAATGGTGGCTCTTGATGCGGCCGACTCCCCGATCCGAAGACCGGAGGGAGGCAGGGGAGGGATCGGTCGGCTGCTAATCGCCAGGCGGATCTAGCAATCATGCGGGGGATCATGCAGACAAGCCAAACTCTAAGAGAAGTGCTTGGCACGGGCACAAGAAGCTCTTGCGCAGCTCTTGCGGTTTGCCGCGGCCTGCCAGATGGATCGAAGCTACCCAGCTCGGAATCAGTGGCTGCAGAGGCGTCGCAGCTTCAGCCGGATGTCACATGTTGAGAGAGTTGTCAGATGCCATCCCGTTCAGGTAGCAGAACCTGGCCCGGCACTGGTAACCAGTGGCCGAGAGTCGGATAAACCGTTTGAAGGCGGCAAGCCTATGTGCTGCGCTCTGAGCACGAAGTTCAGCATGGCTCTACGTGTATCTGCAGGTATGGGATCTTCTACCACGGCCAAGCCTGACGGTGCTGAACATCAGCTTGCCGCCGAGTCAGGGAGTGCCACGGCAGAGGCGCCGGTGCCCTGAAGTTCTACGAAAGATTACGAAAGCTTTTAACATTTGAAGACCCGCCTTTCCCGCAGGCAGCCGCAGATGGCTCGAAACCGCAACCGCCGCCGCGTGACCCGCGCGCCAACTGCTTAAGCAACTGTGATCCCTGTCAACGTCTTACAAATCGTTCTGACAGAATGGAGTGTTCATCCAGGCCAAGGGGGGTGCCGTGCGACAGACACCTCGCGGCCACAAAAAGGACAGAAACGTGCATTGTGCATCGGCATGGTCATGTCACTTCTGGTGCGCACATGGGCATGGTCATGTCACTTCTGGTGTGCGCTCCTGTGGGAAACCGGGCACGCACCGTCCAGTCAGGAGCAGAGAGAACAGAAAGAAGCAAAGACAGGCGATTCCAAGGACGCGCAGAGCAGGCTGAGTATGGCCAAGCGAGTCATAAAGTGCCGTTTCAAGAACCCCTGCCTTCCATGTTTTCCAGGCCTGCCAAGCAGCCCCTCTCTTCGCGCGAACCACGGGACCGCGACCGACGGCGCTCTGCGCCAATACCGCGGGCGCCTAGGGCAAACTCAGAGCCACCTAAAACAGCTCAGAGCGATGGAGCAGTTCGGACTCCAAGCCACGTGGCGCAATTTTGGATGTGAGGATTCCATGTGTTTGTCTCGGACTTTGGCCACTAGAAGACTCACCTGCTCATCTTAGGCTCAATCGATCCACGATTGGTACGGTTGATTTCGGAGATCGAGCGCCGTGGCTGCATGTGCAACATTTGCCCGTGATCGAGTTCGACCTGATGTTTGCGAAACAAGACTACGACAGTCTGACAGGAACCACTTCGAGCAGTTTGATAGCAAGCCTCCTGCAGATGCAATGGGCTGGTTGAAGGAGACTGCTCAGTTAGAACTCTTCGAAGAAGACACTTAGCCGAATTAGCTCACCCTTCTGTTGTTGATCTGTGCGGAGCAGGCAGAGCCCGGATTCCCCCGCCCTAGGAACTTCGTTGGATGCTCAAGCAGCACGAGAAGGACGAGGCACGCTGTACCAAAGCCTCTGCCTGTCTGACCCTGGTTCCTTGGGCCCAGGGCGGCAAGCCAAGCGCTGACCACAGCCCAGCAAGCGAGGCTAAGGCAGAGCCAGCCGAACGCATCCATGTGGAGGATGTCCCCTCAGAGCCGGCGCCGGCTGGCGGCACGGAAGTTGGAACTTTATAGACGCGGCCTGCCGTCAAAGTATATTGAGCTGCATCGCCGACAGCGGCTTTGAGGCCACGCGCCGAGAAAGACCTGAACTCGGCGCTGCTACACCTGCGCAGCTGCTCCTTGGTCGAACAGAAACCTGAGAAAAATCCAGAGAGTCCTTGGGATTGGCTGTGCCAGGCGAGTGGGAGCATGCTCATTTGATGCAGCTGTTGGGTTATGAAGATGCAGTCTTCCGCGAGGACCTGCGCCAAATGTGTGTCTTTTTGGTTTTCATCGGGGGCCCCCTCTGCCGCGAAGGAGCGCCTCATGGAGATTCGCGAGCTCGAAGAAGAAGTTGAGCAAGAGCAGCGTAAAGTCAAGCATATGGACGCCGCAACTCTTCTCTAAGACTCGATGTGCGCAGCGCGTTCGAGTCGAAAGCATCTCGACAGCAAAAGCCCAGAGTCCAGCAAAGGAAAACCGGCGGCGAGAGCGCGCGCTGGCCCGTGCCGCAGCGCTCGCAGCCAGCTCGATGAACCCGGAGAGCGACGGGAACGGCCGAGCCAATCGGCCGCAGCATCACTTAAGGGCCCTCGGGAGGGATGAGAGAGAGTCACTGGAGTTGACTGGAACACGTTTCTCAAGGCACTGCGGCAGACAGAGCAGTGGGAATCCGAAAGTGCCGTCTGGCAGGCGGGTGACAGGGCTGGACCGTCATTACGACGATAATTGTGTTACAAAGCGGTGAATGGCTAATTATGCTTCCTTGTCCAGGCATATGTAACATGCAGAGAGTAGGTGCTGAACCATGGCAGGTGAAGAACGACGCTTGCTAGAAGTTGGGCAATCCGCTTGCTCAGAATGACAAAGTCCATGGGAGCTGATGCGTTGCTAACACTGTTTTCGGCTAGTTCTGGCTATGAGGAAAATCTGCAGAAACAAGTCCTGCAGCTGAACATCTACATGAAGCAAGACTTGGACAAGCAAGACCAGCTGGAGCAAAAGCTTCAGGCTCTGCATCCTGCTTGCACGCTCAGGATGTGCTTGAGCTTAGTGGTGTCCTGGGATGAGACACTTCGTCTAAAGTCCAAGCCGTCAGCAAGTCGATCGTAGATTCTCCCGGATCGTGGAGCCGAGGCGGGAGAAGCTGGAGAGTGAGGAGGCAAAGCAGTGGATCGAGGCCAGGGGTGCATGCATTCGGAAAGACAGGTAGCCCGTGCGAATGCGTGAAAAAAAGGAGCAGCGGCAGCGAGAAGAAGAGCGCTGGAATGAAGAGCAAGTGCTTTCTGCAGAAGTCAAAGCTCTCCAGGTACATGTGCGTCTCGAGTTGCGGCAAATTGCACGGGTTTACGGAGTTACTGCTGGGACCGCTGATCGCTGTTTTTGGCATCTGCAGGACCGGCGTGTGTCGGATGTACAAGCCACCAAGAAAGCGCATACGGAGATGTCACTCGCAGTCCGATAAGTTGAAATCCGCATGGCCCCGAAGTGTTCTGTGAACGTAGTCCCACAGAGCCGCCTCACGGTCAAACAGACTTCATGCACACGCTTTTCTGAGGCCATGTTGCAGGTAGAGGGCGGTGAAGGCGAAGGTAAAAAAGCTAAGTTAGTTTGGATGAAAGCCTTAGGCAGCGACAGCTCGTGGATCTGAGAAAGCAGCAAGCGACCCTGGAGCCCCGACTGGTCGCTGTGCTGCAAGAGATGTGAGAAGCTCGCCCCTGGGCATATGGACTCCTTCTTCGTCTCGTGTGCCGTGGGCATCTTCTTTGCATCCTACTGTTGATGGTATGAATCCTGGGTTACGGGGTCGAAGTCTACCGC